CGAGTACGTGTCTTCCTCCCGCTCCCTCGGCTTCCCTGTCCCAGTGTCTTCCGAGGGTCACCGGCTCCCCAGCCATGGCCCATCATCCTCATCTTCCACATCCGGAACCTCTGCCCAGCCCCCTCCTCACCTGCCCACCAAGCTAGTGATCCGGCACGGCGGGGCTGGTGGCTCCCCTTCGGTGACCTGGGCCCGAACATCATCTTCCTTGTCATCAACATCCTCATCCTCATCCTCTGCCACCTCATCCTTGGACGCAGATGAGGATGGCCCCATGCCCTCTCGCAACCGGCCACCCATCAAGACCTATGAGGCCCGCAGCCGCATCGGCCTCAAGCTCAAGATCAAGCAGGAGGCGGGGCTCAGCAAGGTGGTGCACAACACTGCACTGGACCCTGTGCACCAGCCCTTGCCTGTACCTGCGCCTGCAAAAGGGGCGGAGCCTCCGCCACGCTCAGCTCCACCCTCACTCCCTCCTGCCACACAGGCACAGATGAATGGCACTCTGGACCATCCCCCGCCCGCAGCGCGCAAACCCACAGTGCCTGCGCCCTGCCCACGTCTACCATTGCGCAAGACCTACCGTGAGAACGTGGGTGACCCAGGTGCTGCCGAGGGTACGCACGGACGGCCGCGGGGTGCAAGCAGCCCAACCTCACTACCTGCCAAGGTGGATGAGGCTACCAGTGGGCTGATTCGCGAGCTGGCTGCGGTGGAGGACGAACTGTATCAGCGTGTTTTGAAGGGCGGCCCACCACCCCAAGAAACCCCAGCCTCCACCACCAGCCAGGGCCCCACTGAACCCAGCTGGGAAGCACCTGCACTGCCCCCGGCCAAACGACGCAAGTCCGAGTCCCCTGATGTGGACCAGGCCAGCTTCTCTAGTGACAGCCCGCAGGACGATACGCTCACTGAGCATTTGCAGAGCGCCATCGACAGCATCCTTAACCTGCAACAGGCCCCTGGCCGGACACCCGCAGCTCCCTACCCCCATACAGGGCCCATGCCTGGCAACCCCACATCCCCAGCACCCCTGCACAGGCCAGACGCCTTTCCACCATCCAGTCACAACGGTGGCCTCGGTGCCAGGACGTTGAACAGATAACACTGGGCTGCTCCCGCGGCCCCTGTCAGGTGCTCCCAACCCCACCTCCAGGGGAGCAGCCTGGCAGCCGACCTCCACCTCTGCGGGGACACTAAACCAGTCCCCGACAATTCTTGCCTAAGTTATTTGAGTCACAAAGGCCTCGCCACCCTCCTGCTTCCACGTTGGCTAGAGAGTTGGGATGGGGCGTGGGCTTTCTAGGGGAGGGGGGTTCTGTTGCAATGTACAATGTCCCCCTGGCACAGGCCAGGCCAGGGGATAAGAGTGAGTGTTTCCCAGGACTGGGCTACTGGGTTGACGCACTGGTAACATCTGAATACCAGGCCTTATTTGATTGGCTTCATGGATCGCTGTCCAGGGCGCTCAGAGCTGTGCGAGACCTTCAGACAGGCTCGGCTCATTTCCCGTTCCCTGCAGAGTCTGGAAAATTAGGAAGCGAGGACTCAAGCCAGTGTCCCAAAGTACCTGCGTCCCATCCATACGTGCACACTCCAGAGTCATCCTGTGTGTGTATATGCACGAGAGAGTAATAGAGATTCCCACCACCCCCATCCTTCCCGAGGAACAAGACACGGGGTCTTCCTCCTCCCAAGCCGTCTTCCCTGTATTCTTTTGCCTCCAGTCCACCATGCCACGTTTTGAAATCTTGGAGACAAAACTAGTACTGTAAGATAAAGATTTTTTTTGTACTGTATTTATTGTGTATAACGATTTTTTTAAGGGAAAATTCTGTACATCTAGAACTCTTGTAAATTAAAAGCTGATCCTTTTTTTTTTTAAGACTGTACTCAGGCCCCCTCCGGCCCTTGTTGCTTTGGGGTGTTTTATTTTGGGATTGGTGTTGGTGGGTTGGGACCAAGCCGACAGAGAGGAATTTCATATGTTGGTTGAGTGTCCAGTGGGTCCTAGGCCATGTTCTAAGCCCCGTGGGGCCTGTGAGATGGCTTAATAGATGCAGCGCCTTCCAGGACTCAATTTTGGTGGCTGGCACTTCACTTGAGAAGGAAAGGACCGACCCCCCCCCCACACACTGTTCTCTCACCACTACATCTGTGCAGTGGCATAGATGCCCACACACAAATAAATGTAAGGGGACTTGGGCTTTTTTTTTTTTTATTTTTTTTTTATTGTTAACTAGAAGGTAGTTTGGAAGTCCCTGCCTCTGAAACCAATGCTGTCTGTTCTTACTATACCCAGTTTTGTACTTTGGGCTTTGCTTGAAATGCTCTGAACCATTGCCTTGGGAAACATGGCATTGGGACCCTCACAGTCTAGGGTCAGTGTTCTCAACCGTCTGTGCAGCACCTTGTTTCAGACAGTTTGCTGTTCAAAGACATTTATGGGGCTGCAGAGATGCCTTCGTGGTTAAGAGTGCTTACTGCTCTTGCAGAAGACTAGGTTTGGTTCCCAGCAGCCGGATGGGTGCTCACATCTCTAGTACCAGAGATATGACAGCCTCTTCTGGTCCCTTGGATCCCTGCTCACGTTACACAGAAATTCACATGGGCACACACATAGACTATACATAAACAAATCTTAAAGACACTTAGGAGTGTGGGTCATGCATGCCTGGTCTTCCCAGCCCTTGGGAGGTGGAATTAGAAGTTCAAGGCTATTCTCAATGACCTGGCGTTGGGGTGGGGGGCAAAGTTAGCCTGGGCTATTCAAGACCTTCTCTCAAAGCACAAATAAACGGGAGTTTGAGAGATGGCTCAGCATTTAAAAGCACTGGCTGCTCTTGCGAGGACCTGGGTTTGATTCCCAGGACCTACTTGGTGACTTACGCTCATCTGTAACTCCAGTCCCAGGGCATCTGACTCCTGGCCTCTGAGGTGCATGATGCACAGACATACAGCCAGGCCAAACACCCATACACATTAAGTTAAAATAACTTATGGATTTAAATAAGTACATAAAAATTGAAAGAACAAAACTTTGGTTATGTATGCAGGAGGCCCTGGGTTCCATTCCCAGCGTCTCATAAACAGCATGGTGGTACATACCTGTAATCCCAGCACTTTGTACAGAGGCAAGAAGATCAAAAGTTTAAGGCCATCCTCTGCTACAGAGTAGTGTGTGAGACCCTGTCTACCATGCATTGTGGGTGAGAGGTCTTACTGTGCAATCAAGAACTGAGTCCCGATCGCCAGAACTCACATAAAAACCAAGTGTCATCTCAGACCTCCAATCCCAGCACCAGGGTGACAAGGACACACAGCCTGGGGATTGATAGAGGACACGTGGCGTAGGCTGGCTTCTGCACATGCCCATAGGCACACACTCGTACATACGTGCATGAACCACATACAGAAATAACAGCAGGGGCTGGAGAGATGGCTCAGAGGTTAAGAGCANTTAGGAAATGTCAGGCCAGTGAGACAGCTCACTGTGTAAAGACGCTTACTGTCAAACCTCCCGACCTGAGTGAGTTCCATCCCCAGGACCCATGTGATAGGAGAAAACTGAGTTGTGTAAATTGTCTTCTGACCTCTATAAGTGTGCCGAGGCAGAAGCACACACACACAATTGAGAAAAATAAAATAGGGGCTGGAGAGATGGCTCAGCAGTTAAGAGCATTGCCTGCTCTTCCAAAGGTCCTGAGTTCAATTCCCAGCAACCACATGGTGGCTCACAACCATCTGTACTGAGGTCTGGTGCCCTCTTCTGGCCTGCAGGCATACAGGCAGACAGAACACTGTATACATAATGAGTAAATAAATGAAAGAAAGAAAGAGAGAGAGAGAGAGAGAAAGAAAGAAAGAAAGAAAGAAAGAAAGAAAGAAAGAAAGAAAGAAAGAAAGAAAGAACAGCAATAGCAACCCCTGGGCACTGGGTGGCGACGTTGAACCAATTGGATGGTGGCACTCTTGTCAATGCCTGGCATTGTGGGCAGGCAGCGTCTTCAGAAAAGCAACTGTTTGATTGCTAGGTGTGGTAGCATACACTTGTACTCCCAGCATCTGGGAGGCTGAAGCAAGAGGATCATTACGGCTAATTTGGGCTACTTAGGGAGACCATATATTATTTTATTTTGAGGTTTTTGAGATATTGTTTCTCTGTGTAGCTCTGACTGTCCTGGAATTCGCTCTGTGGATCAGACTTGCCTCGAACTCAGAGAGATCCGCCTGCCTCTGCCTCCTGAGTACTGGAATTAAAGGCATGCGCCATCACTGCCTAGCTAGGATACCCTATTTTAGAAAACCAAAAAAAAGGCACATATTGTATAATAACACAATATGAGCCCGTCTGAGAGCACAAGCGTGCACCACCAAGCTGCGTGTATCCTGTGCTGGGGATGAGGACCCATACATACATCCTAGATGGGCGGGCACTCTACCAACCAAGCCATATGCACTCAAGACTTTTTGTTGCTCTGCTTTTGTCTTTTATTTGTTTTTTGACACAGGGTCTCACTATGTAGGTTTGGCCGACCTGGAATTTGCTATGTAGAGCAGGCTGGCTTCAAAAGCATAGAGATCTGCCTGCCTCTGCCTCTTGATTGATGGGACTAAAGCCCTGTGCCACCATATCAGGCCCATACACTTAGATTTTAAAATTACTGTTTTACGATTATTTTTAAGATAGGATCCAGCCAAATAGTCCAGACTGGTTACAAACTTACCATCCTCATGCCTCGGTCTCACCAGTGCTGGAAAATATAGGTATGCACTACTATGACAGGGTAAGTTATTAGTATACCTGCTGCAGCCGCTGTCTACTCATTTGCCAAGAGAGACAGACTGGGAGGGAGCCAAAAACTGGAGGACCAGGCACAGCTCGAACCAAGGACTACTCAAATGAGCCTGTGTATGTCTTCACAATACCCGCCAGGGGGCGCGCGAGGCCAACACGGGCTGGGACAGGGGGCCCGGGCCCGCCCTGCCCGGTGCTCCTCCCGCGGAGCCCCACCCGGCTCACTCTGCTGCGGACGGGACAGAGCTCAGACAGCTTGCTCTGCGCTCCCCGGGTCCCTGGTGAGTGCTCCCCAAACCCCAACCTTCAACCCCGCTCTCCTGTAACAATCTGCGTCCTGACCTTCCTTCCCAGTCCCTCCCAGGTCCCACACTCTTCCCCCAGGACCTCCCTCCCCAGCAACTCCTCCTCCATTCTCCCCTAGTTCCCCCAACCTCCTCAGATCTCCCCAGCCTTCCCCAGCCTCTCCTAGTCCTTCCGTCTCTCCTAGCCCCCACCACCCCGCTTCCAGTTCTGCCAATTGCTCCCCAACTTTCCTCATCCTGAAGAACCCCCCACCACCTCGCTTTTAAATAGCCTCCCACCGTCCACACCCATTTTTCTGCTCTCCTTGATTTGTCTTGTACCCAAGAGTCCTCTCCTGACTCACCAAGTGCATAGACCCTTTAGCCATTCCTAACGGTCCTTTTTGAGATGTACCTCAGCGGCCTCCCTGTCTGGGACCCTCCCATGGTCCCCTTTGTGGTTATGTCACAGGTTCCTGCCTCTGTCACCTCTCCCACCTCCTCTTTTCTCCAATCCATTTTCCTTATATTCTTTCCTCTCCCTTTGTGTCACTGGGATTTTAGGAGCTTTAGATTTTGATTTGCAGGGCTTCTTCTTGATGCTTAGTTTGTCCCATTTTTTTAGCCAGATGCAAGATGTAGGACACAGAGGCAGGCAGATCTCCTAATCTAAGGCTAGCCTGGTCTACATAGTTCCAGGCCAGCTAGAGCTACATGGTAAGAACTCCCCCCCTTTCTTTAAGGGGGAGATGGCTCCGTCTTGGGGATTAAGAGCACTAGCCGCTTTTCCAGAGGACCCTGGTTTTATCCCCAGTACCCACATGGCAGCTCACAGCTGTCTGTTACTCCAGTCCAGGGCATTCAATACTCTCTTCTGGTCTCCAAGGGCACTCCCTGCATGTAGTACACAGACAAGCATGCCTAGAAAACACTCATACACATAAAATAAAGAAATGAATTTTAGGAAAAATGAAAGAAAAAAGGAAAAACTGTCTCATCTCTGGCTAGTAGGAGCCACTTTAGGCTGGGCGCTGCATCCCGGGCGGTCCTTGAGCTGATGCAGACTGCACTGTTCCTTCCTGGCCCCAGCCTTGGAACAGCTGTTTCTCCAGGGAGCCCTCTGTTCCTTCTGCGAAAAATGACATGAGGGACTCCAATCTGACCAAAAACTCATTCTCAAATCATAAGCGTCTACTTATGGAGCGAGGAAAGAAACTATTCTCGACAGACAGGCGCGGTGTCACCCCAGACTCCACAGTGAAGGTATGGGGTATACAGAGAGCACAGTCTGGCTTCGGGGGTGCTCACTGCTTCAGGGGTGGTGATGACTTTTTCTCTAACTATGCTCTTGAGACCTGGGAAGGGAGACAGGGTCTGAGAATGCATTGCCTGGCTGGGGTGTTTCCTAGCCCGGGGATCCTGTGCAAGCTATTGCTACCCTCCCGAGGCTCAATTTCCTCCTTAGGACGTGGGTAGGAATGAGGATGCAGCTGTAGAGTGCTTCCTTAGCTTGCTGGAAACCTTGAGTTCCAGCTCCAACTCTGGATAAAACTGCTCATGGCAGTGCATATCTGTAATCTCAGAGCTAGGGAGGTAGAACCAAGGAGATCAGAAGTTCGAGATCATTCTCAGCTACATAGTAAGTTTGAGTCCATCAGGGGATATGTGAGACACAGTCTCAAAAAGAAAAGACTTAAAGTGAGGATAATGACAAAATCACTTGATAGTCACAAAAACTAAGTGAGCTAGCACAGAATTTGGGGCATGACTCAGTGGGAGAGCATTTGCCTAGAATGCCCCAGTGAGGGATTGGGGGTGTGACTCAGTGATGGAGCCCCTGCCTAGAATGCCCCAGTGAGGGCCTGGGGTGTGGCCCAGTGGTAGAGCCCCTGCCTAGAATCCCCCAGTGAGGGGCTTAGATATGGCTTAGCAGTCTTGTGATTGTCTAGCATGCTCAAGGTCCTGGGTTCCATTCTAGCACCACACCCCAAATACAAGCTGGCACAGTGTCTGGCTTATGCTTATCACGTTGTTTCTTCCTCATGTCCAGGGCTTCTCCTGACCTGGGTGCACCTAGGTAGCCTCTGCCCCTCATTCCACCACCCTCTGGTTTTGTGTCCCCACCAAACAATCCTCAGTTCTCAGCGCCCGAGAGCCTGTCACACCCTTGGGCCTTTGCACATGTCATCCTCTGCCTAAGCCCTTCATCTTGCCTGTCCTTCATTAACTGTTGTGTGGCCAGGTCCTCCACTGGGGGCTCTGGTTGGGTTGCATTTGGCTTCTATGGCTCCTTTCTTGGACTCCTGCAGCATGGAGCGAGCCATTCCAGAGAGAATACGTCCAATGATGGACGTGTGGGGTCTTTTCAGATAGGGTCTTCTTACATGTTGTCCGGGTCAACTGGGAACTTGTGATTTTTCCTGCCTCAGCTTCCCGAGCGCTGGCATTAAGGATGGATTGACATCCAGCTCAGGGATGTGTCCCACCCCCACCCCCAGCAGTTCCTTCCTTTCCTTTGTTCTCCCTTTTGTTTCCCGTCCTGCTCCCCCTTGAACCACACCGCTGTTTATCTCCAGGCAAACCCCTCTCCTCCCAGCACTGAGTCCCCCTGCTCCTTCTCCCATCTCTAGCCATTCCCTAGCAGTCTTCCACTATGTCCCCTCCTTTCTCCTACAGGTAAGCTCTCCACCCTGTAGTCTCCTTGGGTGACCCAGTAGGATCGAAGTCACCATGTTCAGCTGGCTGAAGAAGGGCGGGGCTCGGGGCCAGCGACATGAGGCCATCCGCACTGTGACCTCTTCCCTCAAGGAGTTGTACCGCACAAAACTTTTGCCCCTGGAGGAACACTACCGTTTCGGGGCTTTCCATTCACCGGCCCTCGAAGATGCTGACTTCGATGGCAAACCCATGGTGCTGGTGGCTGGTCAGTATAGCACTGGCAAAACCAGCTTCATCCAGTACCTTCTGGAGCAGGAGGTTCCTGGCTCTCGTGTGGGTCCAGAGCCCACCACCGATTGCTTCGTGGCTGTCATGCATGGCGAGACAGAGGGCACTGTGCCGGGCAATGCTCTCGTTGTGGACCCAGAGAAGCCCTTCCGCAAGCTCAATCCTTTCGGAAACACTTTCCTCAACAGGTGTGGCAGCTGTCAGCCAGGAGGGGGGGGACGAGGGACATCTATCCCAGAATTCTTCTATCCATCTCAGCTCTGATTCTCATCCTTCTGCCTACTTCTTTCCCCTCCTGCATCTGCTACCTTTCCTATGGAAGGCCTGGCTTCCAATTGTGCCTGAGCTGCTGAGTGCTGGGCAGCCTTAGTCAAGTGATTTAACCTCTCTGTGCCTCTCATATTCATCCGGAAAATGAAGGTAACCAGGGTTATACTGTTACTTGGGATATCCCCAGAAACAGATCTGTTTTCTTTTGTAGATCCCACGATGCCTCTGAACTTCTTTCCAGGACTCCTGTCCTCCGCACCTGCCTCTCTCTTCATGGTACCCTTAGTGCCCTTTCTCTTTCTGCCCTTCTTTACACTGACCCCTAACCTCTGTCTCCACCCCCCCCCCCAGGTTTATGTGTGCCCAACTCCCCAACCAGGTCCTGGAGAGCATCAGCATCATCGACACACCGGGCATCCTGTCAGGTGCCAAACAGAGAGTGAGCCGCGGTGAGTGAGGAGGAAGCCTAGTATAAGGGAGGAGGCTGGGGCTGGACCCCTGTGCCTGAGGGAGGAGGCTGGGGCTGAACCCCTGTGTCTGAGGGAGGAGGCTGGGGTCTCCTTTGGTCGTCCCCGTGCAGGCACATGGAGCTACAGGAGGCTGCCATTCCTTCCGTTGGTGCTGGTGGTGGGGTGGGGGAGGCACGGGTGAACACATGTGAGCAGGCTGGAGCCACATGTCTGGGCCGGTTAGGAGGATGGAAAAGGAGAGATGAAGAGGGACGGGAGGTGCTTAGAGAGTCCCAGGAAGAGACAGGCTGGGCAGGGAGGCCCTGGGCCCCATGCTTGTTCCTCTGAGCTCCTGGCTGGGAGGCTGGGCCACAGATGGAGCTAAGAGGGAGAATCTGGGTGGGGGCCAAGGCCGGGCCTGGAATTTATAAACAGCTGAGCAGGGGGAGCAATGGGGGGTAAATTCCAGCAGGGCCTCCAGTGAGCCTATCCCCTCCCACCCTGCCCAGTCTTTTAGCCCCGCTCCTGCTCTAGCCCCTCCCAACTTCTCCCCCACCCTAGCATCTGGGCCCACAGCCTTTCTGTCCGTCCCTACCACCACCCCCATCCCTAGGCCTCGGCCATGGAATTGGGGCAAAGGAGGCAACTGTGTGGGGCAGAGGGGACCCAAGGCCAGGCAGGAGGCGGGGCCAGGGCAGAGTTTGGCTCCCAAAGTGCCAGTGCCCCTGGCCGCTGTCCAGCAGCGCAGCCCCGAGGGAGAAGCACGGGAGGCAGCTGCAGAAGTGGTCACCGTGCTCTGCCAGCTGGAGGTGGGGGAGGAGCAGGGGCGGGAGGAATTCCTGGTGTGCCTAGCCCAGGGGCTGGGCCTAAGTGATGGAGGGAGCCCAGGGCCCCAGCTTCCGCAGGAGATGATGAGGGGTGGGGATGGGGATCCCCTTCCTCCGGCTCTGGAGGCATAGGGGGTGGAGCCTGTTTGCCCAGGGGGACTTGTGGGGGAGCGGAGAACGGTAAATCCTGGGGAAGTACTGTGTGATGAGTAGGAGAGGTGATGTCTGTCTGTGATGGGGTGGGCTGGCAGGTGTGGCGTCGTGACTCTGAAGTTGTAGGAATTGACGGAAGTGTGACAGAGGCTGGCTATGTGTGCTGTGTACCTCTAATTGTGACAAGCTGGGATTTTATGTGATTCTGAGGGAAGGTGTAGGACGGGGGATGTGGAGGGATCTTGTGAGGCTGTTTTTATTGCGGTGTTGGTGCCTCACATAGTAGGCAAGCAGGCCACGTCCCCAGCATTTCACTGGGGGATCCTAGGCCAGCGTTCTACCAGTGAACTACATCCTCAGCTCTGTGTGTGACTCTATACAGGTGTGTGTGTGTGCGTGTGCGTGAATCTGTATTTATGTCTGTGTAGGTCAGTATTGAAAGTTGTTTCATTACTGGAGAGCCTGTGTGTGTGGCAGGGCACATCTGTCATCCCAGTGCCAGGAGCGCCGAGACAGGAGGATTGTGACCAGTTGGAGGCCAGCATGGACATCACAGTAGTGTCTCTGCCACATAGTGTGTGTTCAGACAGGCCTCCGTGCTGGAGTGTGTACTGATTCCTGCATCTGTGATGCAGTGTGGGTCCCAAGCATCTTTGTGACCACGAGGCACACGTATCTGTGCAGGTCCCAGACTCCGACACACAAGCATGTGTCTGGGAGTGTGAGTCTGAGTGCAGGAGACTCTGATGCATCCAGCTGTTTGGTGGTAGGTGTGTACATTGGCAGAGGTGTGGCTGCCCGGAGAAGCTTGCCCCGGTGTGACTGTTGCCCGGAGTGTCCCGCTGGAACACTTCCAGTCTAGATTTGCTAATGTTTTCATTCCCTTGTTTTTTTTTTTTGACACAGAGCCTTTTTGTTCTGTATTTCGGGCTGGTCTGGAACTCACTATGTATTTCAAATTGGCCCCAAGCTGGTGGCAGTCCTCCTGCCTCAGCTGCTCTTGCACTGAGATGACGGGCATGCACAGGCATGCCAGGCTTTGTTCCCTGGCATTGTAATGACTTAACCAAACCATCTTGTATCTCTGTGCTTTGGTTTCCCGCCAGTGAATAGGGAGACGAACCATAGGAACCCCTGAGAAGGGTTACGTTAGCTGTATGGAGGAAATAGGGAGACGAACCATAGGAACCCCTGAGAAGGGTTACGTTAGTTGTATGGAGGAAATGGGTGCCTGGGCGATGGGTAACCAGGACTGTTTTTCTTGGGTGAACATCCCTTCTCTCTGCCACGTCTCCATTCCCACACTGTCTCAACGTCCCTGCCTCCCTCTCCCCTCCCTTTCTCCAGTCCCCCCTCCCTCTCAACCCCATGAGACAGACTTTCCAAATCCAGGCCAGGGTGTATGTAGATACTAGGGAGGGGGGAGAGGCCCAGCTGCTGCCCCTGCAGTGACCTGGCCCTTCCTTCCCCCAGAACAATATCCCTGCCCCTTCCCCTCCCATCAGCAAGGGGCAGGCTGCCTCCTGGGGCCCATGTTGGGGTGAGAGTGGGGGGGATGAACAGGCAGCTATAGCTACTGAGGTGACTCCTGTCCGGCTGCCTCCTGCCTGCACGACTTCTGTATCTTGGTTTCCTCAGCTGGAGAATGGGGACATAAATTGCTGTCTACTGGATTCTGTGGGGCAAGTGAGTCTGTTATAGCCTGAGCTCAAGTCAGGACACCAGTGATGGTCCCTTATCTGGCCAGCTGCTGCTCAATATCCCCTCTTCCAGGAAGTCCTCCTTGACCTATGCTTAGGCCAGGCCAGAGCACCCCCTCAGGGACTCTCCACAGTTTCCAGGACCCCCCATATCCTAACTTGACTACTCTGGGCACAGATTTGTCCTCAGACTGTAAGGGCAGATTTGGGGCCACCTCAGCCTCCCCTTCTGCTGAATCAGGCAGGGAGAGATGTGTCCTGAGTCGCCCCTATGTGTCTGGTGGCCTAGGGCTGGTATTTGCTGAACACTCTCTCTACCCCTTGTGCCTCGTTTCTTCTCTAATAGCCTTCATGGGCACAATGGCACACACCGTCTTCAGCTTTTCCCATAGGTGAGCTCAGTTGTCGTCTGATTGTCTACGACACAGAACCAATCGTGATTGTTGTTTTTTAATGTTAGGGGATGGGCAAGTTCAGAAAAGTTGAGCTACTTGCTAATGTAGTACATGGGGGCAGGGCAGGGCTTCCTGTTTGCCAGGTCGAGGGTGGGTTTTACACTCTCCTACGTTTTGCTCATTAGTGAATGAATAAGTGAAGGAATAAAGGTGAGAAATATTGAAGGGCATGGATGAGAAAAGGAAGGAAGGAATGAGTGAATGGATGGACGCAAATTATTAAACATATAGGGTGGCAAGGACATAGCACAACTGGGGAGATGGCTCCGTGGCTAAGTGTGCAAATTGCTCTTGTAGAGGAACCAAGTTCAGTTCCCAGCACCCACACTGGACTGCTCACAACCACTTGTCAATTTAGCTTCAGGGGATCTGACACCTATGGTTTCCATGGATACCTGTACTCATGTGCACCACCCACCCACAGATACACACTCACACACGTAGACACACAGACAGACACAGACACACACAGACATGTGCACACACAGAGAGACATATACAGACACATAGACATACACAGATACACATGAATATACACAATACACAGACCCACACAAAAACACATGGAGAGATACATAGACACACATAGACATACAGGCATACACAGACATACAGACACACTGAAACAGACACACAGACATACAAATACACACATATATGTACAGAGAGACATACATAGACGTATGAACACACACACATAGAGATACACACAGACATACACACAAAAGTCTTAGTAGCTTGACCTCCTGTTGTCTCTCAATTTCTGGCACACCCAACAAGTCCCAGGGAAGTGCTTGGAGAAGGCTCAGAAGTACCAGGGTCCTCTTTGAGATCATTTTAGGATTTTTCTTTGAGACAGGGTCTCACTATGCAGCCCTGGCTGTCCTGAAACTCACTATGTAGACTAGTTTGGCCTCAGACTCACAGAGAGCCACCTGCTTTGACTCCTGAGTGTGGGGATTCAAGACGTACAACATCATCTCTGGCCACCTTATGCGGGTGCTGGAGGGATGGCTCTGTGGTTAGGAGGACTTGCTGGTCTTGCAGAGGACCCAAGCTCATTTCTCAGCGCTCATTTCGGGTGACTCACAACCATCTGTCATTCCAGCTGTGGGTGGTCTGTATGACACTCTCTTCTGGCCTCTACAGGTATCCATACACACATGCGTGCGCGCACACACAGAAATGATAAATATTTTAAATATAAATAAAAACTGTGTGCGAGTGTGAATGTGTGCATGAATGTGGTACTCAAGGAGGCCAGAAGAGGACACTGGATCCTCCCCTGGAACCCACCTGCTGTGGGTGCTGCTTACCAACTGCACTGAGGTCTTCTGGGAGAGCAGTGTGTTCTCTTAACCGCTGAGCCATCTCTCCAGCCCCCAGCTTTAGCATTTGAAAGTATTTTTATTTCATTTTATTTCTTGTGTGGGGGTCCATGCCGTGGCATATGAGTGGCGGTCAGAGGAACGCTGCAGGCCCACCTCAGGCTGTTAGGCTTGGTGGCTGCACCTTTACACTCTGAGCCATCCCACAAGTCCCACGCTTCAGGATTTTAAATGCCAATAAATATATCGATGTCAAAACAAATGCCCAGTGTCTGCCTAAGGAATGAATGAAAAGCCAATGATCTGGGAATCAGGAAAGTGGAGGGGTAGAGGGTGAGGTGAAGGGGGGGGAGGCATGGTTGCCTCATCCAAGAAGCCAGATGGCTTGAGGGTCTGGGTCCTGAAAAGTGGCAGTTTTGGGGCACATGTAGAGGCTCTGAGCCTTGGCATACACGGGAATTACATGGTTAACAATCTGAACATTTGCACCATCCAGTATCAGTTCGAAAAAATGAATGCTAATGACCGGGGTGTGAGGGTGTGACGTCTATTCCTCGCGTCCCTGTCCTCCGCCTGCTCCAGGATACGACTTCCCAGCCGTCCTGCGCTGGTTTGCCGAGCGCGTGGACCTCATCATCCTGCTCTTCGACGCCCACAAGCTGGAAATTTCCGATGAGTTCTCAGAGGCCATCGATGCCTTGCGTGGACACGAGGACAAGATCCGCGTGGTACTCAACAAGGCGGACATGGTGGAGACGCAGCAGCTGATGCGTGTCTACGGAGCACTCATGTGGGCGCTGGGCAAGGTGGTGGGCACGCCCGAGGTCCTGCGCGTCTACATCGGCTCCTTCTGGTCCCAGCCGCTCCTTGTGCCAGACAACAGGCATCTCTTCGAGCTGGAGGAACAGGACCTCTTCCGTGACATCCAAGGTCTACCGCGCCATGCGGCATTGCGCAAGCTCAACGACCTAGTGAAGAGGGCGCGGCTAGTGCGGGTGAGCAGGGCAGGCTGGGGCCCGGGAGGACTTCGAAAAGTTGAGGGAGGATTTAAAGGGTGATCAGGAGATGGGGAAGGTAGTCAGAAAACTGTAAGAGTACTGGTTGAGGAGGACTTAGGGGGACTGGGGAGGACTTCGGGAGGCTATGGAGGATTGATGGAGTCACAGGTCTCGAGGTCTTGAAGTTGCGGGACAGACTTTTTTTTTTTTTTTTTTTTTTTGGTTTTTCGAGACAGGGTTTCTCTGTGGTTTTGGAGCCTGTCCTGGAACTAGCTCTTGTAGACCAGGCTGGTCTCGAACTCACAGAGATCCGCCTGCCTCTGCCTCCCAAGTGCTGGGATTAAAGGCATGCGCCACCACCACCCGGCCAGACTTTTCTTTCTTCTCTGCTTGTGCAGCTAATTGGCACCACCTAGCTCCCAGATTAGTTAATTCTCCTGATGGGTTGATCTAGTGCTTGAAGGAGGAAGTCCTGTGTGGAGGGTCCCTTTTCCACCATTGCCCTGAGTAGGCATCTTTCCCTGTCTGTCTCCATCCTATCGCCGGCCTCCTTTCCCTCCTTCCATCCCACTTGAACAGAAGCCAAGTCCTCTTGTTGGCTATCTTAGTTACTTTTCTATAGCTCTGAAGAGACACCATAACCAAGGTAATTTATAAAGAAACGCTATTGGTGTGGTGGTTCCAGAGGGTTAGAGAGTCTAAGACCGTCATGGTGGGGAGTGCGACGGCAGGCAGGCAGGCAGGCAGGCAAGTATGGTGTGGGAGCAATAGCTGAGAGTCTCTGTCAGCACAAGGCACCGAGAGAGCAAACTGGGGATGCTGTGGCCTTTTTAAATCTCAAAGCCCACCCCTAATGGCATACCTGGCCAGGTGGTGGTGGTGGCTCACGTCTTTAATCCCAGCACTTGGGAAGCAGAGGCAGGCGGATCTCTGTGAATTTGAGGACAGCCTGGTCTACAAAGCGAGTTCCAGGACAGCTAGGACTGTTACACAGATAAACCCTGCCTTGAACCCCCTCCCCCTAAACAAACAAACAAAACAACTCTTATTAGCATACCTACTCCAAAAAGGCTAAACTTCTTAATCCTTCCCAAAGAGTTTTATAAACTGGGGTCCAAGTATTCAAATATTTGACCCTCTGAGAGTCATTCTCATTCAAACACCACAGCTGCTCACTCCTTCCCCTACCTCCTCACCTCCACTCTCTCCATCAGCCACTGCACAACACACTGGCCACCTCAGTCCTACCCCGGGGCCTTTGTACTCTCTGTTTGCTCTTCCTGGCAGCCTTCTCTTCCCCGACTGTCCATATGGCTCACCCAATGCCACCTTCTCTTAATGACCACACCTACTCCAGATTTACCCTTTACCATGTCGTGACCCCTTCAGTGCCTTCACCTCCTGTGAGCCTGTCAGGGCCCCTGTTCTGCCTCCTCAACTCCGCACTTAAGTGCTGCAGAACTTGGCATCTTAGGATTCCTTCACTGAGTGTCCCTAGCCCCTGGGCTTGAATTGCTCTGTAAATATTTATGGAATGAATGACACTTGGCAGCACCTCAGCTTGAACAAAGTCACTCCTGTGCCTAGCCCTCTGCTGGGACTTGCTGGAGATGCAGCAATGGCCAAGGTTGCTTGGCCTTGCTCATTGGGGTTCCAAGGTCTGAATACCCAAGGCAGTCTTAAGGCTCACCCTTTGCTGGGGGAAGAAAAGAGACCTATCCCACAGCTATGCTAGCCAACCAACGTCCAGTTAGGAAGGGAAGTCAGGAAGGCTTCTTAGAGGAGAGGGCATCAGAGGGAATACTGTGAGACTGGGGACTGCCGATCCCGAGGGCTACATCAAGGCTCTTGTGCTTTGTTTAAGGGCACCAGGGAGACGAGGAATGGTTTGGAGCAGGATGACAGGGTTGCACTCAAAGCTGCCTTCTGGAGAGCTGAGTCAGGTCTAGGAAGGACTGAGAGGGTTGGAGGACACAGTCTGTTTCAGGCTGGGCCTCAGAGAGGAAGAGGAGGGCAAGGGCTTTGCTTTCAGAGCCAGAGGTGGAACGGAGCATTCACAGGGGAGGCCGCCAGGGTGGAGGTGGGGCAGGAAGCTGGCAGGAGAAGAGACCACGAAGGTTCTAGGTGGTAAAGGCATCTGAGGTGTGGTTTAAAAGAGCTGGAGAGGAGTGAATCACCGCTTCCAACCCCACCGCAGGAATCCGCTTTGGAAGGGAGCACTGGGTACCCAAGGCAGAGTCTGTCCCAGGAGGCCAGGGCTGTCCCTTTAGTCACTGTGTCCCCATCAGCTTCTTCCTTTTTCAATTATTTCCTCTTGTTCATACTCTTTTCCTAGTCTTCTCTCTCTTCCCACCTCTCCCTCCGTCTTTCTCAGTACCCCTTGGCTCACCCTTACTCCTCGTTGGGAAACAGAAGCCAAACCTGGGGTCCCGCGGCACAGGGACCAAGGGGCCAGGCCGGACACCTGGCGCCCTAGCTAGGCGGGAGGTGGCTCCGGAAACCCAGGACAAACCCCGGAGTCCGACCCGCTCCCCGGCCCAGCCCGCACCTCCCTCTTATCTCTTCCTGCCACCTTCCCATACTTCCTCTCTGGAAAAGCCATCAGCGCTCCCGCTTGCCTTGGCGACCGGCCCCCAGCCACGGTCCTCAGCCAGGGTCCTCACAGACCAGGCCCCTCCCCTTTGGGCTGCCCTAGAAGGCCACGCCCCTGGAGTAGTAAACAAGCCACGCCTCTCCCATTGCCCGCCCTCGCAGGCAAAACCTTTTTACATTGGTCGGTCCTCATATGTCACATATGTCACGCCCTTTTTCATTGACTCGCCCTAACAGGTACAGCAAGCTACAATTGATTTGCCCAAACAGGACACACACCCCCCAATAGACCATCCTCAGGCCACGCCCATCCTGTTTGACTGCTCAGGTCAAAAGCCTCCTCATTAACACACTCTAGGAGGCCACACCTCCTCCCCACTGACCCGTTCTCACTGGCTGCGTCCCCACACTCCTGCCCCACCGGCGACTCTGGCAGGCCCCCGCCCTTCCCAAGTGGCTCGTTGTCTCAAATCCTACTCTTCCCCAACCATTTCAGCCCCTCGCCTCACTGCCTTTTCCGGCAAGTCCTGCTCTTCCTTACTGGCTTTCTCTGCTCAACCACGCAACTTCTCCATTGACTCCCGGTATCAGGCGGTGACTTTCATATTGACCACACCCCTACTCTTGATTGGCCTCTCAGAAATGTAGGTTATGCTTTCCTCTGGTCCTGCAAGCTCATGCTTAGTTTCCCAGTGCCTCGCTCAGTGCCCGGGATCCTAGTCTTCAGGGTTGGCTCTGATCAAACTTCATGATGCCATCCCACTTCGTGGCACATCCTGGCCCGCACACCCTTCACAAATGACTCAGACCCCAGTCACCAATAACAGCACACATGGCTTTAACCTCCCTTGAGTGCTCTCCTTCAGTGGCACAAGACCGTTAAGGGCTCTCAGAAAATGTAACTTGATGTTAACCAAAAGGCCGAGAAGGCTCAGTAAGGGTTCTCCGTAACTCACTCCCTTAACTCAGTTTCATATCTGTACAGGCAGGGTGTGCATGAATTCTCTGGCTCTGCCCTTTGGTGGAAGTGTAAGCCACTAGAAGGGGGTGGTTCCAGAATGCTATAAAGCTTGTGTCTATAACCTGGGAAGAGTTGATTCTTCTATTACTGTTGGGTTTTTTTTTTTTGTGTGCTTGTTTGTCTTATTTTAATGTGTGTGAGCATGACATATGTGTGTCATGCAATCACGTGCCACAGTCTATATATTAAGGCCAGAGGACAATTTATGTCAGTTCTCTCCTTCCACCACGCGGGACCCACTCAGGCAGCAAGCACCTTTGCCTTGCCCATCCACATCGCCCCACATCTCCAGCCTTATTTTATCTCCATCTGACATGCGTACTCAGCGATGGAGCCGCCCGTAGACAGCAGACATGCCTGCACTCGTCATTCTGCCGTCCTCACTCACTTTTCGATAACTTACGACAATGTGGTTCAAAGGTTCTCAAGTTCAGTGGTTTATCCCACAATGATTTCCTGAGGGACACTGTGCATATTGTCCCAGGACTGCAGAGGAAACAGACAAGGCCTGAGCTGGCAGAGCTTCTAGTTTGATGGAGGGAAACAGAGCAGTCAGATAAAATAATGATGACTCGGCTGGACCGTGAAGAAGACGAAGGGCCTGGAGATAATCAGATGGCAGTGATAAGGACACTTGGTTTTCATGGTCCGTGGGGAGGCTGGGACGGAGCTCCTGGTAGAGAGCATGGTCATACGCAAAGGCCCTGGGTAGGGGCACGAGTTCGTGTGCTGGTCAGCGAATGCTGGTGAGCAGTGTATAGAGGGGAAAGATGGGAGAGCATGTGGGTGAAGCTGCAGGGGCCAGTCAGGGAGGGCAGTGGGGCTCTTAAGAATTATTGGGGGGGGGGTGTCTGGAGAGATGCCCAGCAGTTAAGAGCTCTGGTTGCTCTTCTAGACAATCCAGGTTTGGTTCTCAGCACCCACAACTATCTCTAACCCTAGCCCCCGTGTATCTGATGCCCTCTTCTGGCTTCTCTGGGTACTGCACACACATTGTGCTCAGACACAAAACACCCCAACACATTTAAACGTTTTTTTAAAATGCAAACAAATTGAGGTCTTTCTAACCTCAGCATTTGGGAGGTGGAGGCAGGAGGATTGCTAGTTGGAGTCCAACTGGACTACGTAAGGATTCTTAAGAAAGCAAAGTGTCTAGTTTCTGAGGTAGGCAGAGCTTAGACACCCCTTTCCAGAGCTAGGCACAGCTGAGGGCAACTCATTCTGGGCTGAGCCCAAGTGCCTTGGAGGGCCTCAGGCTGTGGAACTGGGTAGGGATGTGACAGGAGAGAGAGGCAAGCCCCAGCTCTGGGCTGGTATTTGGGTGAGGCCAGCTTGCAGGAGCTTAAAGCTGGGAGTGGCTGAGATGGCTTAGCAGAGAGGGGAGCTTAGGTTGAACCCCACTAGATAGGACAGTAGGGTTCATCTACCTGTGACATATAAGAAAAGGAGGTTCCAACCAGGCATAAGGGTTTACAACTGCAATCTCAGCATTGAAGAGGCTGAGGCAGGAGGGTGGCTGTAAGTTTGAATCCAGCCTGGGGTATAGAGTTCAACCTTGTATCAAAAAGCCCAAGAGGAGAGCTGTGCATAGTGACTCGCACTTGTCATCCCTGCACTCAGGAGGCAGAAGCAGGAGGACCAGGTGCTCAGGGCCAGTCTGTGTCACACGAGACCCGAGACCCTGCCTCAGAGAAAGGAATGCAGGTTCTCAGGCCCTGCCCAGCCCCAGTCTCCTCCTCGTGACTGTGCTGCGGGCTCAGATGTGAATGTCTTTTTGCAGGTGCATGCTTATATCATCAGCTACCTGAAGAAAGAGATGCCCTCGGTGTTCGGGAAGGAAAACAAGAAGAAGCAGCTGATCCTCAAGCTGCCTGTCATCTTTGCCAAGATCCAGCTAGAGCACCACATCTCCCCTGGGGATTTCCCTGACTGCCAGAAGATGCAGGTGGGGGCTGCTCCAGACAGGGTGGCAGGGTGTTGATGAGAGTCTCCTGTGGGTTCTGAGATGAAGGCTGGAAGGCTGGAGGGCTGGATGCCATTTTCATCCAGCAGAACCCGGCCTTATGAGTTAGGGTAACAGAATGGGGAGAAAACCCATAGTAACAGTTAACATGGGAAGTCACTTTCTTTCCCTTGAAGACCCTAGGATATACTCGGGGTGGAAGGGCAGCTTGCTGCTTGTGGAGCCAGGGATCTACTGTTTCTCTTTCCCATGCTTGCCCATGGTATTAATGGCTGCAGGAACTCCAGTCATTGTGTCTGCATTTCAGTCAGCAAGGTAGCCTGGGTTACACAAGACCCTGACTCAAAGTGGGAAAAAAGTAAAACAGGACAGGGCTCATCAGTAAGAGAGCCCCCGCCTAGTAGTGAGGGGCTAAGGGCATGACCTTGCGATGGTGCCCCCTGACATCTAGCTTCTCCATTCACCCCCCCCCCAGGAGCTGTTGATGGCACATGACTTCACTAAGTTCCACTCCTTGAAGCCGAAGCTGCTGGAGGCTCTGGATGAGATGCTGACACATGACATTGCTAAGCTTATGCCGCTGCTTCGGCAAGAGGAGCTGGAGAGTGTGGAGGTTGGCGTGCAGGGTGGTGCATTTGAGGGCACCCACATGGGCCCCTTCGTGGAGCGGGGCCCTGACGAGGCACTGGAGGATGGCGAGGAGGGCTCAGAAGATGATGCCGAATGGGTGGTGACCAAGGACAAGTCCAAATACGACGAAATCTTCTATAACTTGGCACCTGCCGATGGCAAGCTGAGTGGTTCCAAGGCCAAAACCTGGATGGTAGGCACCAAGCTTCCCAACTCTGTGTTGGGGCGGATCTGGAAGCTGAGCGATGTTGACCGAGATGGCATGCTGGATGATGAGGAGTTCGCCCTGGCCAGCCATCTCATCGAGGCCAAGCTCGAGGGCCACGGGCTGCCCACCAACCTGCCCCGCCGCCTTGTGCCACCTTCCAAGCGACGCCAGAAGGGCTCTGCTGAGTGAGACAGCTGTGATTGATGGTCCTCCCTCCCACTCTGCCCTGCTGTGGCTCCCCAGCTCCAGTTGCCTACACGGCTACACGCAGATCCCTGCTCTGGCCCACTCACCCTCTCTGCCCACCCTTCCTGGCTGTAAGGACTTGAGGGGGGCTACTCCCCCATACCAGACATTCAGTCAAAGCACTTATAGAGGACCAGGGGTAGTGACAAACCTTCTCTGTCCCATCTTTCACACCTCCACCCTCACATACACAAGGGCCTATCATACAGAAACACACAGACATCCATCTATCATTCATATAGAGACTTTTTTCCTTTTATTATTATTTTTAAACAATGTCTCAGATAGCCCAGGATACCCCTGAACTTCCTATGTAGCTGAGGATGGCCTGGATATTTCATCTTCCTGGTCTATGCAGTGCTGGGGTGTGAACACAGGGTCTCCTGCAAGCTAGGCAAGCGCTCTGTCAACTGAGGTATGTCTGCAGCCCCATCGGATATTTATTGAGCACTGACTGTATGCCGGGCTCTGGTGGAACAGACTCTCAGGAGTGTGACATCTTCATAGTCACACAAACACTGATACCAGCAAGACCCCTTGTCCCTTTTTTTTTTTTTTTTTTTTTGGTTTTTCGAGACAGGGTTTCTCTGTGGTTTTGGAGCCTGTCCTGGAACTAGCTCTTGTAGAACAGGCTGGTCTCGAACTCACAGAGATCCACCTGTCTCTGCCTCCCGAGTGCTGGGATTAAAGGCGTGCGCGTGCGCCACCACCGCCCGGCTCCCTTGTCCCTTTTTATAGGTAAGCAGCTCCTTTTACTCAGCCTTGCTAGAGCTCCCTACTCCATTATGTCTTCAGGTCTTGGGACCATTGGGGGCTCAGAGGGAGACACCTGACCTCCTCCTTCCTTATATGTACCCATTTCTGTCACTTTCTTCCCACAAACCTTGAACTCTGAACACACCCTTTTCACAAAGATTCTGCAGCAGATTAAAAACAACTTCCCAGCTCCTTCAAGGATGGTTTGCATCCTCTGCCCGGTGCCCCCAGCATCCCCAGCATGTGCCCAGTGCTGGGGACCCCAGTAGCGGGTCCCTCTTTCCACCTTCAGGTCATATTCAAATAGAGTCCCTACCAAAGACAGAGGTCCCAGGGGTGACAGGCACTTCACTGAAGCCAGAGTTTTCACGGATATTCTGGGGGATTGGGAATTCTTGGTGCTATAGCCTTTTCTCCTCCTTAAAGGGATCCCCATGCCTGTCTTCAACACCCCTGGTGGGGGACATCATGGAGAAGATGGGGGCAGCTGGAAGGGGCTGGGAACCCAAGAGTGTCCCCCACAGGGCCAATAAAGCCAAGACTGCTGCTTGTTTCACTGTCAGGCTATTTTGGGGCGGAAGACCCCTAGGGAAGAGGTGCAAGGGGTACCGTTCTGGCTCACAAGGGCGGTGCAGCCTGTGACTCAACACTGCGCTGACTCAGTCTCGGGCTGGGGGCCAGCCCTGCATATTTTCCAAAGAAAAGTTACTCAGGGCCCTCCCCACCCCCGGGGACATCCCTCCCTCCCGCCTCAGGGCCTGGGAACCCAGACCTGGGCGTGGACCTGTGCCAGTTTGGGTACAACGCGCCCTTCGTCCCCAAAGCGCCCTCCAGCGCGCACTGACACGATGCAAATACATTAGAGCAGATCTTGCAGCCCGAAACAACCGGGTCTTGGGGGAGGGATTAGTGTCAGAATGCACAGGGCTCACGCCCGGCCCACACCCACCGCGTCCAGGACACGCTGGCCTGGAGAGCCTCCCGCCCACGCTCAAGTCCCACTTGGTGGCCAGGGACGCCCTCTGGCGTAATCAAGCGGAAAGGCGGTCAGTGACTCAGTCCAGGCCATCATCTCAACACCCTGCGAGTTCCGCTGTGTGACCCTGGCGCGATGTGTTCCCTCCCCGCGTCTTTTTCCTTAAGAGTTTGTAATCCCAGGCAGCAGGCCAGACTGAGCCTGTCTTGGAGGGGAAAAAAGTCGTGTGGTATGGCTGGGGCTCAGTGTTACCAGCGCCTGCCCTTCCTGCACTGCACAGGATTGTTTCCACTCAGCACAACAGGAGGAAAGAATCTTTGTAATACTTTGTAGACCCCTTCAGTTGACTACCATTTCCCAGGAGCACCTGGGAGGGTGAGGTGGGGTGGAGGCAGCGGCAGTAGCTCATTCAGATGCTAGGCATTACTTTAAGTACTTTAGATGTATTAATTTTTATCTTCAGAATAACAGCATTATTACTCCTGTTTTACAGCCAAGAAAACTAAGGCATTGTATAGTATCAGGCCCGAGAGCAATGATTCTGAGTCCCCTCCTAAGCCTGTAAATAATGTATGCCCCTAACATTGCTCGAATATCACATTCTGTGTCCAACGTTCTCCTTCCTAAGGTCTTTGATTGATTTCCAATAGTTTAGGATTGGAACTTTTTAAAAAATTCACTTTTTTCATTTATGTGTATGTATGTATTCATGCATGCATGTACACAGGTGTGTGCATTCCAAAGAGCAGAAGTAACAGGTAGTTGTGAGCCACCATGTGGGTGTGGGAACCAGGGTCTTCTGGAAAAGCAGCCAGTGCTTTTAACAGCTAAATCATCTCTCCAGACCACATACTCAGCTTCTTATGTAAGTTCTAGGAACTCAAATTCAGCTCCTCATTGATTGCCCAGAAAGCTCTCTTAAGCACATCGAGTCTTCTCCCCAGTCCTTGTAACTCACTCTGCGGTACAGGATGGCCCATGATCATGTGATCCTCCTGCCTTGAGTAGATAGGGTTAGAATCATGACTACCAGCTTTTTAGTGTGTGTGTGTGTGTGTGTGTGTGTGTGTGTGTGTGTGTGTAAGCAAACATGCCCCACAGCATGCCCTGTGAAGGTTGTGAAGTTGCTTGCAGAAGTTGGCTCTTCGCTTCCATCATATGGGTTCTGGGGATTAATCTCAGGCCATCAGGTTTGTCAGCAACAGCTTTTACCTGAGTCTTCTTGGCAGTTCCATGTCCAGCATCTTCTTTAATAAAGTTAAAGAGAAATTGACCCGCCTCCACCCCTATGGTATTACTGTTTGGGGAGGAGTGGTGTAGGCGCTCATCAGTTGCCTTTGATTTAGTGACTAACCTTTCACTCATCTCAAGTTCATACAAACAATCTTAATAAATCCCGTGTATAACGAAAGAAGACATGAGAGACGAGACTGCTGGGAAAGAAGAGCGGGGCAGCAAGAGTGGCAAAGGTAATTTTTACAGGCGATGCAAGTAAAAATGGCCAAGGTAACATATGAAATTTGTCAAAGAATTAAAAACAAATAGCTTGAGCAAAATTTCAGAACAGCGGGAAAGGTATATTGCTCAGAGCGAGACCCAAGAATTTACACAGCCTACTCTCCACAGGTCAGAAATTGCAAGTCCAAGTTGCAAACACTGGAGCTTGGTAGGGTGGCAGTAGGGAGGGCAGAAGGATCAGGAATTCAAGGTCATCTTGTACTACCCTGAGAGTTCTTAGCTTTCTTGGACTACATGTGAACTTTAAAAAAAAATGGGCTGGAGAGATGGTTCTGCGGTTAAGAGTACCGACTGCTCTTCTAGAGGACCAGGGTTCAATTCCCCGTACCCACATGGCAGCTCACAACTGCCTATAACTACAATTCCAGGGGAGGGATCTGACTCCCTTGCACAGAACTACATGCAGGCAAAACACCAATGTACATAAGATGAGAATAAAAAAAGTTTTTTTTGACATTTATTTATTTATTATGTATACAATGTTCTGTTTGTGTGTGTGCCTGCAGGACAGAAGAGGGCACCAGACATCATTACAGATGGTTGTGAGCCACCATGTGGTTGCTGGGAATTGAACATAGGACCTTTGGAAGAGCAGGCAATGCTCTTAACCGCTGAGCCATCTCTCCAGCCCCAAAAGGTTTTTTTTGTTGTTGTTGTTGTTGTTGTTTTGTTTTTTCTGAGACAGGGTTTCTCCGTAGCTTTGGAGCCTGTCCTGGAACTAGCTCTTGTAGTCCAGGCTGGCCTCGAACTCAGAGATCCGCTTGGCTCTGCCTCCCAAGTGCTGGGATTAAAGGCGTGTGCCACCACTGCCCGGCCGAGAATAAAATTTTAAAAAAGACAAAAGCCTGGAAGAGAAACCATTTATCTTTTACCAAGATAGCCTTCCTCACCTCTTTGTAATACTACACTTTACCAAGATGGCTGCAACAGGAAGTGCGTCATGATATACGTCTAGTGCGTTGCGGACACTCCAAACCGGATATCAGAGTTTGAGCGACCGAGCTCTTCCTTTAAGAAGATGTCGGCGGGAAGTAACAGCGGCGGTGAGAAGCGCGGCTCGAAAAGCCATGCGGACTCTGGCTTCCTTGGGCTACGGCCCACCTCGGTGGATCCGGCTCTGAGGCGGCGGCGGCGAGGCCCCAGAAACAAGAAACGCGGCTGGAGGAGGCTCGCCGAGGAGCCGCTGGGGCTAGAGGTAGACCAGTTCCTAGACGACGTGCGGCTGCAGGAGCGCACGACCGGGTATGTGGGGCGGGACTTCCGCTAGCTTGGGCTCGCTCATTGCGGCCTGGTACGAGACGGGCAGGGAACTTCCGGCTCCGGGGATTTCGGGGTCGAAAACTCACTAGTACTATCTTTAATAAAGTTTACAGAAATTCCAACAAAGTTTAAATATCTTTTAGGCTTATTTTTAAATTTTGACATAGGGCCTCTCCGGGTGTCAGGCCACTCTGGATGGCCTGACAGTGTGTAGACATACCAAGCTCCAGTTGTTTTCCTGGATCCCAGGGTTTGAGGCGGTGTTGGAATGGACCCAGAGAATTGGGCCGCATCTTAGAAGGGTCTTTGTCTTCCCAGCATTATATTAGATAATGGTCTGCATTCTTATCCTTCAGTGGCTTGTTGGCCGAGGCACCAAATGAAAAGCTCTTCTTCGTGGACACTGGATCCAAGAAAAAAGGTAAGGAGTGCGTTTGTGATCTTGTATGAGTCTTGCATCACAAGAGATCTATATTGACGCCATTATTTAAAAAGCCAGCATTTTAGGGGCACTTGGGAGACAGAGGCAGGGGGATTGCCTTGGTTTAAGACCAGCCTGGTTGATGGTTGGTGGTTCTGCAGGCCTTTAATCCCAGCACTTGGGAGGCAGAGGCAGGTGAATCTCTGTGAGTTCGTGGCCAGCCTGGTCTACAGAGTAAGTTCCAGGATAGGCTCCAAAGCTACAGAGAAACTCTGTCTTGAAAAACCAGAAAGAAAAGAAAAGAAAAGCAGTCTTCTTGTTTTTTTTTTTTTCTTTTATTGAACCCAGGCCTCACACGTGGCTAGGCAAATATCAGTGAGCTGTATCCCTCAGCCCCTTGTTTAAAAGAGCATGATGGCAGGTGTGCTAATCCACCCCTCTGATCCCAGCACTCTGGAGGCAGAGGCAGCCAGGACTACACAGTGAGATCTGCTTTAGCCAGTAGGTAGGAGATGTGTCTTGACAAACTGGCCCTACGCCGTAAGGAACTTGGTTTTGGACCTGCTGAGACACAAAGACAAGGGCAAGTTAGGGATTGCTTTGATGATTAATTGGGGTTTTCACCAGTGTGGCACAAAAACACTCAAAAGTGATTCAGCAGGCACTGAAAACAAGCGGGTGCCTGGCCAACCAGGGTTAGCCAGTGGCTTTGCAGAGCAAGCTGGGAGTTTCGCTAGCAAATATTCACAATGTGAGTCAGAAGATCCTTTTAGGGAAGCTGCATGGGGGCACAGGAACTTTTTAAGCTCACTTTTACATTAGCATGTAACGAAATGGGCTTCATCATGATGACTTAATGTCACCATGCTTCATTCTCGTTTACTCCCTTCCCCGCCACCCTCCCTGTCTTCTTTAGCGGGTTCCCTTCTGATAGTCCCCCCCTCTTGTTTTCTGTCTAAAAAAATTTAACAAATTTATTTATGTATATGAGTGGTTTGCCTACATGTATATGTATGGCACGTGTGTGCCTGGTGCCCTAGAGATCAAAAGAGAGCATCAGATCTTCTGCAGCTGGAGTTAGAGACGGTTGTGAGCCTCCATGGGAGTACTGGGAACACACACACACACCATCACCTGCAAACACTGGGTGTGTATGCCTGCTAAACCATCTTCACGTCTTTCTGGTCTCTTCCCCGTCCCAGGGCTCCCTTTCTAATTTTGTGACAGGTGGGAGTTGGTTTGGTGTGGTTGGTTGGTTGGTTTGTTTTTCTTTCTTGGTACAAGATTTTAGTATTCCGTCTTGTTGGCCTGGAACTGGCAGGTCTTGAACTCACCAAAATGTGTCTCTGTTGGAATGAAAGACATGTACCACCACAG